TTTAACACTTCACGTTCGCTGTACATGTCTCAGTTCTAGGAAGTGGAAAATTATGAATACCAAAGTACATAGAATAAAACAGAGTCGTCCCGTTGTCTGTATATGTCCCTATGTATGCTTAGATCTATAAAACTACGCAACGGATCTTGATGCGGTTTTTTTTACTAGATAGAGTGATTCAAGAGGAAGGTTTAAATGTATAACTAGAGACCGCCCCAGCTTCGAATTGGTGCATTGCTGAATGTTTGTTTTCGACATCGCATAAGTAACCTCGAAAATTATCAGTGTTTCTCTACTATAATATGCATGAATATACACATAAACCTTCCTCTTGAATCACTTTATCCATTAAAAAGATCTAAGCATATATATGGACAGACAGACAGCGGGGCGACTTCCGTTTATACTATGTAGTGATACATTGCACCCGTGCGAATCCGGGGCGGGTCGCTAGTAGAATCATATAGGTTATTCATTGGCGCGAAAGATGCTGGCTATTTCATGATGTTTTTCTACTATCCTCTAATTTGTTATGTCTGTACATTTTTAAAGTTTAATTTTAATACTAGTCTTCGAGGTTAAGATTAAACTTAAAATTTGTAGAAAAAAAATTGTCGAAAAATACGAGACCTTAATAAACTAATATTAACAGTTTCGCGCGATTACAATCGCTTAGCTTAGTGGCTAGAGCGACTAGACGTAATTCGGTAAGCAGCTTCGAAAAATGTTAACTGTCAAAGATTTTTCGACGGCTTTTCCACACATTTTCAGCTCCTATAAATTACTTGTTATCTCTATATATACTAATACTTGTTGTATATATTAATATGTGAAGATAAAGCTTTGGATCGCTTTTGTAAGAATATTGCGTGGATGCAGACATAGTCAAAGTTTATACGGCGCAGGAGTGAAGAGAAGATGCCAGTTTGACTGAATGAATCTGAAAAAAATAATGAATAATAGGCAAATTTCGAACAATGGACGAAAATATAACAATGCTCTAATTATTGCTTTCATCCAATTGTAGTTATTTCAACTGTATACTTTTTTCATTATTTCACTGCACAATTAATTAATTTCTTTTGTACGTCTGTTCGGGTCAACTCCCAATTCTCAGCCTACCTTTCAAAGTTCCACGTGGCTCAATAAGACTTACTATAATTATATTGATAGTTAATATGAAATTCGGATTATACGGTACTCTATATATCGTACTCCTACAAATATACCGCATTGGAGTATCGACTATAAGTTGTTGTAATTATAAGATTGATGAGAGAATAATGTAATATTAAAGTTTAAACCTTTTGATTACGTCTTTTGATTTACATCTTTTGATTCAGGTATTGATCAAAGTAGGTCTAAAGTTGCAGACGAAAAAGACAGACAGCCGACCAATTTACAATACTGAAATGTCGTCAGACTTGCAAACGTGACCTATTACAAAAAGGGGCCAAGCAAGTCAATGCCGCAGTTGAGGAAGTAAATTCAAGACGCGCTCAACGAACATGCGGTTTACGAAAATATTATTGTTAATGAAAGACCTTCAATGACAAAAGATTTCATTAAATATCAACACAAATCGGATAGATACTTTTGTTCCTTCCATTTAGATGACAATTTTACTTTTATTTTTGTACAATTTCAATATATATAATACTATGTACCTAGAGAAATAAAATCGCTTTCTATGTCGCACAATCGCTTGAAACAGATCATGACGGAAAATATGGTCTAATTAAATAATTTTTACGTTTTAGATAAATTTAAACGTTATTATTTTTCGCTACCTAACGATGTCCACTACTGCTAATGATGATTCATGTGTCACTTCACTAGCCAAGTCACACAGTGAAATGATAAATAAAAATCGTCCAAAATAAATATGACAAATAACCAAGAGATAAATAATCAGTGGACCTGAGGAACACAACCCGTTACTCAGGCCAATTAAGCGAAGATCAATTTCAATGCACTACCTAGATAGCAATAGTAGTATAGTACAACTAAAATCAATATGCAATCAGCAAGCTTCCGTAAAAACTAGTCGTGTCGGATTTATTGAATACGAAACAAATACAAGTCATGCAAAGTTGTTACTATTAAAAAATGACGAAAGCAAATATGGCGGCTGTAAAATTTCCCGCGCGAATCGGACGTCTCGCGTGCGTGCTGCCACAGGGACCAAAGAAAAATGGAACGACCGTAAACTAACGGCAGATTTATAAATATTTTAACGTTTCACGCTGACGTATACCATAACAATTCGCGCAAATCAAGAGTCAATCGAGATATGATAAAAATATAGTGCGCTCTAATTACTTCCTGGAGTATTATCTATCTACATCGTAAATTGGATTGGCTGATGAGCATCTACGCGTTCACTTGAACACATATTTTTTTCAATATAACATATTCTGCACAATTAATATTATATAGCGTCTGTGAGGTTTAGTAAATCTCTTTCGCAAGCAGTGAATATTGCAGTAAAATGGAGCGGCAATTTTTTTATCTTGGTTTGGTAATATCAATAATCGCTTATTTGTTTCACGTCGGAAGTTATTTATAAACGTTTTCTTGCTGTCACATTATAAGACGACAGGTATTCATCAAAGCTGACGAATGGCTTTCTAAATATACAGATTTGCGGGTTAGAAGGGCATGCGGCTACGCTAATACAAACAGCGATATTGGAGCTGCGCACGAAATGCCATCAGGCTTGAGTGATTGTTTTCATCCGTACATACCGTTTCATACTGTAAGCGGAATGTTACAACCGGATGATAGATTTTATTTGTAGATATTAACATATTATAGAAAAAAAATTGTGACATTCGCAAATAATTAAGTGTAAACGATTTTATTACTTTGTCACTTGTTAGTTTTATTCCTTTGTATCCTAGATACCCTGATGGAAAGGTCTAATTATAATGTTGATAATACATTACATGAGGACAAGTTGATGGAGTGACAATCTGTGCAAATGCGCGGGAAGTCGATGGATGCAGGTAGCTCAGGATCGTACTTCGTGGCAGTCTTCGGGGGAGGCCTATGTTCAGCAGTGGACTTAAACGGGCTGAAATGATGATGAAGAACGCGTGGAAATGACTGTTGCATAGCAATTGCAATAGCTCTGCAAGTACCCTCGCTGCTGCTGATTTTATACTTTACAAATTTGTATATATTGTTTTTTAAAAAAAGGAGAACAGTTTCTTTCCGGTTCTTCTCTGGCCAGGTTTGAATAAGTGAATCGTTGGTAGTTTGTCGACGTTCAATAAGAACTTAAAACAAGCTAATATCATTAATTATTAATAATTGTGTAATTTCAGATGGGGTGTCTAAGACAGCATGGTAGGACTGTGTGGAAGGTGAAATGAGTATAAAGTGTAAAATAATTGGCAGGAGATATAAAAAAGATTAGTGATATGAATCATTCGTGACAATAACTTAACATATGAGGTGATGATAGAGAAGAAAGCTTTATCTGTTATACATTTGAAGTGACAAGCTTATTAAGGTAAGGCACATCCAAATAGGATGGATTTCTTTAAGGAAAGTAAGTGAAAAGATGTCAGGAGAGGAGCGAACTTCTATACTATGAGAATCAATTACCCAATTCAATTAGCAGAGGAACAAATAAAAAGGCCATTGGATGTAATTATAGAAATAAGAGATATCTTACCGCCTAACAACATAGGTAGGGATGTGTTTATCACATAACTTCACGTTGGGGTCTATTTACGACCCTTGGATTGAATCGAAAAGCTACGTGCGTGTCGGTTTAATTTCGTTCCGAAATTGGACTAGAATTTGCTATTCTAGTCCAGATAAGGCCTGCGTATCGAGGCGAGGTTACAATAGCTTTGCTGCCGGAGACGTCGCATCGAAGGGCGATTATAAAAGCTTTCACGGATTAACTTACATCTGTCTCGCGTTATATTACGAAAATAATTCAAATTGAAAGTATTTTCTTTACTCTTGATGTACGTTTTTTAACTTTTCTCCCATGAAAGGCAAAGGTTTTAGCATTTTCTCTTATTAAAAGGCACGTTCTGGTCGGAATGTGATTACGAAGTTCATTATTAGACACAAAACGTTCTTAATTTCTTAAACGATAATTTTTATAAGAAGGTAAAAGGCTAAACGGCTGATGCAGTTGTGATTATACGAGGAGTTTCAATAACAAAAATTACAACCCAGCTATTACTATGATAGGCAGAAATGTGTGAAATTAACCACTGCTGTTTATTATGCCTAAATGCTTTCCAGCGAGAAAGCTTGAGTAATAGTAGTCGTGCATTAAATGTTTTTAAACACGGATCAGTTAGAGTTTTAATTAAAAAGAAAATACACTCTTGACAATAAGCGAGAAAATGAGCCGCGATAGTATCCGGGCGCTCGCCTTTAATTCAATATACTCGAGCAACCTGAGTTCGATCCCGGTGCCGGCATAGAAGAAATTTTTAGTTTTAAGTGCTGAGTTATCACGTGCTTAGTGAAGGAAAACATCGTGAGGAAACCTGCATATTTCGAAATAATAACAGAAAAAATATTTCGGAGATATCCGAAGTCCGCCAGTCCTCAGCGAGCCCGCGAGGTGGACTACGCCCTGATACCCTCTGTACAGAGGAGGCCTTCGCCCAGTAGTGGGACATGTATAGGCAGTTTACTTTACCCTTGACAATCAGATTTTAATATGAACATTTTTTTTTTATGTGAAAAGTTGCCAAACGAGCAGACGGATTACCTGATGGTGAGTGAATACCGCCGCCCATGGACATCTGCTACACCCGAGGGTTACAGATGCGTTGACAACCTTTTGAAAATTGGGCTCCGGCTACCTCACTCACTAGACGAAACGCGAAAGTATTTATCATACTTCCACTTTACGCTGGTTTTCTGTGAGGTCGTAGCACTTACCCGAACGGGCCTGCCCATTCGTGCAACAGCCGAGGCTGCTGCGTGGCCCTACCACCGTAAAAACTAAGCAGCAAACTTACCTCGCTGCCATCTTGTTGAGCGTTGCACTTGCTGATGTTCAGGGTGCCGGAGATAAAGTCGTTCTGCACATCAACCACCAGGAATGCGCTCACGGGCCTCACGATCTGGACAGAGAACCCTCGGGTAATGACCGCCAATTCTTTGCTAAAAGCTAATCTTTGGTGGGCAACTGCCTCTTCAGTGAAGAAGTATAAAACAAAGTCGTCCCGCTGTCTCTCTGTTCGTATGCATGCTTAGATCTTTAAAACAACGCGACGGATCTCGATGCTGTTTTTTTTACTAGACCGAGTGATTCAAGAGGAAGGTTTATATGTATAATACATTGCATCCGTGCGAAGCCGGGTGGATAAAAATTACTCTTTGCATCATCGTGTGAGCCCGGTAGGCGGAGGCTGGGGTTAGGGATTGGTTCGCAAAGTCACAGCTCGCTAAGGATGCGTTTGCTCTTTACGCGGATAATCTTAGATGCTACGGCCGGGATGTACTTAATTAATATATTTTAAAGAATCTTTATTACGTTTTATTTTAATTTACTTAAGTTTCTGTACTTGAGTTGAAACTTCTCTTCTATCTATTAATTTTTATGTTTATTATGTTTAGAAATGATTTCCAAATCTTCACTGTAATAAATAATATAAATAATCCGTACACGAATAAACCGATTGGCGTGGTAGATAGTGAGTTCGAACCCCATTACTGGAAATGTTCATCAAGAAATGTTCATCACTCAATATTGTGTGAACATTTTGCCATAGTTTGCAAGCCTGGCGAGCGGGTTGGCAACAGCAATTTTTCTAGACTGCTCGCACCTGAACCTCGCTTCCCGTTATAAGCCTTGGAGTTTTGAGCGTTTAGTTATCTATCTGGAAAGTCGAGGTGGTTGTCCCACCATCTATCGGAAGCCACCAGCTGTTTGTAATAATCCCCCCTATGATAAGACCTTAGGGGAGATGTACTTATCCACAAAAGCAAAATTTATCTATCACTTAATGGTACAATAAAATTTAATTAACTTGGTAAACACTAAAATATATTAATAAAATTAATGACCGTAAACATTAGAAAATTTAACTTTTGAATAAATATTTAGCGGTTGTCGCGACATACCTAACAATTTAATTTATCATTTGTTATTAGAAGTTTCAAAAGAACTGTTTGTATTGCGTCTCTGGTGAAACTATCACATAATAATTCGTATTGAATAGAAATAAAAAACAATTGCGTCAAATGAAACATGGTCGCTAGTTGAAGATAGGTTTGCTGCTGTCTCAATAAAAGAAAACATAACAAGACCGCAGTTTCTTGCAGGTTCTTCTCTGGTCAGGTCTGGTTTAGTGAACCGGATGTTTTGACATTCAATAAGAGCTTAATTTAAGCCTATATTGAGTAAGGAGATTATGACTGACTACAAAAGCGCATCGCCAGCCTTTGACAAGTATGGAATTTAGCTTTAGAGGTGTCGTTAGATTTGTATTTACTGTGAAAGTGACTCTGGGTATATCAAAATAAAAAAAATTCACAGAAACGCGGTTTTTTAGTTTTTATTAATTATATTCAAATTGTTACTTTAAAAGTGTTCGAAACGTCGTGTATTTAAAAATCGTATGTAATATAATAATCTATATAATGTATGTAATATATAAAAATATAATAATGTACATAATGTATGTAATATATCATATAATATGTAAAATAGTTTCATTTAACAAGTATTGGAGACTGTTGAGGAGTTGGGCAGACACCTCGCCCGCATGATGACGCCCAAATTATAGTTCCATTACTAGTTGGTGCTTACGCGGTCCACGCGGTAAGTCTACATTATTGACCGAATACATGCCAAATACATTTAAGTCATACTTAAACCTTCTTTTTTTTAATAATTTTTAAAAATTCTTCCTGGGGGGAGGTTGCCGCTTTTCCCCACTTTTCAATAGATGTGACGCGCTCATTAGATTTTTTTTTAATTTAGTGAAGTCGGCGGTTCACCTGATGTTAAGTGATTACCGCCACCAATAGACATCTAGAAGTCTTGCAAGCATTTAAAAAAGTGGGCACGGGTACAACAATCGAAACGCATACTTCCGTCTTCTGTGGTACTTCCCCGGAAGAGCAATCCCACTTGTGCAAAAGCAGTAACTGATGTGCCTTACCACAGAAAAACCTGCTCACTTAGAAAAAATGCCACGTTGTTTCATTTTCTACGGTGGAGGAATTCTAGGTAGTATTCAAAATCAAAATCAAAATCAAATGTGTTTATTCAACATAGGAGCATTACACTCACTTATTGATAGTCAAAACACTACCACCGGTTCGGAAAAGAAAGCCACTGTACTGAGAAGAACCGGCGAAAGAAACTCAGCGGGCTTTTTTTTTTTATAAATAAGCAGTTTGACATAAATTCGTTAAAATACAATATAAAAACTCAGATTGAAAGAGCCTGGAGCGATCAGTTCATTACCAGAGTGTGTTATCATTTAAATAATCCTTTAACACACAAACATTCTTTTACTATTTTTTTAAATTTAGTTTTTTATTGCAGTACTTTTAAAGGTACACTACCATGCAAGCAATGACAGTAATAGTTTGGGCAATTATTACATTTGAGCTTACCACTTTAATCCAATGGTTCCAGCAAAATGTAAACTCCTCCTTATCAATGAACCCATCATCATTCTTATCAAACACCTGGAACACATGCCTTGCTTTCTCCTCGGGTAATGGGTAAATGTGGCCCTTGTCATTGCGGAAGAGAGCTTTACAGATTAGCTGGAACTCTTCAAAACTCAGCTTGCCATCACTAGCATACACAAAATTATATGTTCAAATCCACACAGATAACAACTAAAAATTATTTTATTTATTTATTAAGGCTTACCAACTCAATACATAAAGAACATTGACAGACAAATATGTTTAACTTAATAAATAATACAGTTGTAACCATATATGTACATATTTAAATTATAGGTAAACAAAATACTATAAAATAAAGCTGAATTAGATAACAAAAACTTAACTAAAAAACTTTTATCTCTGCGAAAAAAGAACCAAAATAAGAAAATTATAAATTAAAATTTAGCAATAAATAGAGATTAACATAATATTATAATTAACAATTAATAAACAGTCCATCAGACATCAACAAAAATTCCTATTAAAATTTTATATATTCCTCACTTATAGAAAAACGGTGCCTTAAACAATATTTGTACATGATATTTTATACATTTTACAATAATAGCAAATTGAGCCAATTCACTTCTTTTAATATTGCTCACCTTAGAATGTCTTGCTTCACCTAGCCCTGGTTTTGTAAAACTACACAGATGTGACATGTTTATAACAAAAACTAATGAAAAGTTGTCATAAATTTAGTATGTGAAATATTTGTTTCTATTTATTAAATGTGAAGGTCTAGTGGAACCTTAGGATCAATTGTTACTAGGAACTGGAGCTTGAAAAATTTTAATATTAGGGACTTGTAACTTATCGATAACAAATATTTTATTTACACTAAAAAAAAATTATTGTAATAAGATGTCAGAGAAAATAGACATCAACATATATGAAGTACATTGATTTTCTATTATTTTTTCATTAGTAATATCATATGGTGTAAGATTTTGAAGTTTAACATTCACAAGGATGGTTTGTGTTCATTACATTGTATTGTGTAATGAAAAAGTTATTACTAAATACAAAATGCGCGGGGGACGTGAAATAAGAGCATGACCAAACATACCTATCTTTGTCAAATGTCTCATAGCAAGCGTCCATATCGACCAAGCAAACTTCGTCAACTGGCGAGTCGTTAGCAACGTCCGACATCGTAGGTTTGATCGAAATGAGCGGCCCGCCTTCGGGGCGCTCGTTTATAAGGCAAATCAACATCGTAGCAGCCGGGTTGCACCACAATGCGCATAAATGAACAATAACGCTAGTAACGCGTCATATTACGGTACCCTGCAGCACCACGGAGCCAAAACTTTGATTAAGCGGTTATAGCGGTTAAGTTTTATTTCACGTTTGCAGCTTTCACCACCGAAATTGCGAATTACTTAACAGTCAACTCCATGTTTCCAACGATAGACACTAAAATGTCATAGTCAGCTAATGACAGCTGTTTGTTTCATTTGTGACATTTGCACCCAACAAAATAAATTGTAGTGGATTTTAATTTCATTAAAAGAAAAAAAATGTACACTTGGTTTCATTAAATTTTCATATGATATTTCTTTATGAACCCATTTTTTCAGAGAACTCAAATTTCAAAGAGCTCGTAATTAATAATTATACTTTTCCAGTTTGTTATGGGCTTAATGAAACGGAATATATGCATAAATTCATTTTACGCATTGTAAAAGCGTATTTTAATTTTATATTTCTTTTATATAACCGCTTAAATAAAAATATAAATAATAACTATAGTTTAAAACATGGTATAATATGAATGATTAAGAAAATTTTAATAGTATGTCTTTGAATTTAATTCCATGCTGCTTCCTTTGTACTTTTGTCTTTTATTACAGATAAAAATAATAAAAAGATACGCGCGGTCGGCATCACGTAAAATATTTACCTTTTCACGCCAATATAAATTTGATTACTGTTTGCATATTATTTGTTTATTGAATTAATGATTATTATTGTTCATCCGAAAATTTAGCCGTTTTATTGGTTTATTCAGCAGCATCGAATTGGCCCATTCGCGGCTAATCGCGGGTAATCAAGATGGTTATCGAAAAATTGCACGGTTTGCAAGCTACAGCATTAACTCTCAATGAACGGTTCACGATATTGTCGAAGGTGGTCCCTGAACGGAATATACGAGCCAGGACTCCACAAAGGCGCGCGAACTTTGGCTCCTTAAATCTAAACAACAATCGGAATATAATTGAACAAATTGCAAGGAAGTTACAACAACAAGTTAAACGGGTACGGCGTATATTCAATCTTTAACCCATTCGACTTAGCTTAGACTATTACACAAATAAATTTCCGAGATTTTACTAGTGTAAAGTTTTGTTTCAATATTTGTGTAAATTTTAATATATTTTATATATAAAACAATGCTTGTCATCTCCAGCCACTGTAAACACTGACACACAGGGGTTGAAGGCAACTTTAACTCATTTATTTGAAGAATAATGAACTGGCGCTAAGGGTTTTGTGGCCATTCAATATTTCATCTAATTGTTTACAGTGTGTTTGTTATTTTCTGTTAACACAGCAAGCAGTAAAACAACGCTTGGGCATGATGCGCCGTTATGGGAGTGAGAGCAGTTTACCCGGGTTGAGGCGGTCCAACAGTTTTGGCAACCTTAATGAGAGGCAAAGCATAAAAAATAGAATGCACTGGCAGCAGTCCAATAATAATTTGAGGTATGTTACGCTTTGGGACCTGGTGGATGTTTTAACAGCAACCATTTGGACTTAAAAAGTTTTCCGTCATTGTTTGGGATAATTCATTCATAAAAAAAGGCAATGCATCCGCAAACCCTATGGGCATTGCAAATGTCTATGGGTGCAGCTTGTTTCCCACCTTTTGACATAAAAAAATATGTATGTGATAAATCAGCACTTAAAAACTTCATTGGTGCCGGCACCAGGGATTGAACTTAGGTTGCTCGAGTAAATTGAATTAAAGGCGAGCGCCTGGACACTGAGCTATCATGGCTCTAGAGCTTATCACATGCTCCGTGGTGAAGGTAAGCATAGTGAGGAAACCTGCATATTTTCGAAATAATATTAAGAAAAATATATATTTTTCGAAGATATTTGAAGTCCGCCAATCCGCAGTGGGGCCACATGGTGAACTATATCCTGTTACCCTCTGTGTACAGGAGGTCTTTGCCCAGCAGTTTTTTATATAATTTCAATAAATTGTGGCTCTAAATAGAAGCCAAGTCGAGATAAACTATAATTTTAAGCAATTTTTTTGCTGTTCTTTTTGTTGTCCTTTGCTCTAGAACATATCATGTTTCAAATGTTTAAAGTTGTTAGGGCCGGTAGTTGAATGTTCAAAAATACGTCACAGCCCAAAGTACATCACACCACCTCGATTATGTTTTGTATGCCATTTTCGCATTCGGCCATTTCTCTGTTGGCTACCACCGTTATAACCTACCTTTAAATTGGAAACTATATGCTAGATTTAATTTTGATATTTATTTTCAAGTCCTTATACTTTAACTGAGGGAATCAATCATGCAAGGGCCCGCACAATAGTCTATATTAATATGTATAACACTGTATTTTTGTTTTGGAAAAAAACTACATGTATGAAGGCTAGTTCTTAATAAGGCAAAACTACAGTAACAAAAAACAACAACAGTGGCAAAAAAGTACAAATGTAAAATAATAATGTTTTTGATGAAAGTTTTATAGAAATGTTTTGTTGCCCACAGCCGATCTGCTTCGTTCGGAAACCTCTCCCAAGGCGGTTTGCGTGGACGTGGCTTCCGTCGCAGGGGTGGGAGGCCTTTCGGTCTGCGAGGGAAGCTGCGAACCAATGCAACATTCGCTCCGTAAGGCTGTTTTCATGTTTATTTTCTAATAATCACTGGATCTGTTCAGTCATTCAATTTTGTTAAAAATGTGTCACCAAGTTTTACGGTTTTAGAGTCATTATGAAGCTTGAGCAAGGCAGCACTTGTTTGAGAACGAACCGCGGCCGCCACCCAGTAGATTGACTTAAAGTAATATCCATACCTCGTGCATTTCTTCTGGTAATTAAGAGAACCTGGGCCGATACTCTTGAAAGGTTGGCAACACTATGGGCATTATAGATATCCTTGAATGGTGGCAATCACATCACAGTGGAGCTTGTAATCACCTGTTGTAGAGAAAATTTCTGAGTTTTCAGCCACATGAGCAGTTTAAAAGTTTATTTTTCACGTAGACTCAGTGTCATTGACAGGGTGTGTGGGTTTCAGGGGCGGTCGCTGGCAGTTTAGGCGTACGTTCGGTCGGAATTTCGGGAAGACGGTTGGCCGCACACAAACCCTTCGCCGTCAGACGCGTGGCCGTGGCAGAGGTAAAGTCATATTTTATATTCTTTTTTATTTGGAGCTGTGATAGCTCAGTGTCCGGGCACTAACCTTTAATTTAATATACTCGAGCAACCTGAGTTCGATCCCCGGTGCCGGCACCAATGAAGTTTTTAACTTTAAGTGCTGACTTATCACATGCTCCGAGGTGAAGGAAAACATCGTGAGGAAACCTGCATATTTTCGAAATAATAATAAAAAAAATATATATTTCGAAGATATGTGAATTCCGCCAATCCGCAGTGGGGCCGCGTGGTGGACTATGCCCCGATACCCTCTGTATAGAGGAGGCCTTTGCCCAGCAGTGGGACATGTATAGGCTGTTACTTTACTTTTTCTATATGTTTAGGGGGCATTTTTTAAACAATGTTATCTATTCCTCAATTATTGTTGGCATCCTCAGTGTCTGACATGCAAGCGGTAGTGAATAGTTTGGGGGCCGAAAGCGGTAAACTTGGTCTTGCAATCGATCGAAACAAGACAAAGTTAATGGTCGTGGATCGCGCCGGCCTTTTGTCTGGCACTCACAACATGGACGGGATTGATACTGTGGATGACTTTATATACGAAGATATGTAAGGATGGAAACTGTACTCCGGGGATAAAAAGACGCGTTGGGATGGGAAAGGATGCCATGACCATGCTTAATAAAATATGGCAAAATCACGGAATCTCCAAAAACACCAAAATGTGTTTAGTACGAGCCCTGGTGTTTTCGATTTTTTTCTTCGTTTATAAAGTAAGCATTGTCCTTACTTTAGGATAATATTATCCTGTGTCGTAAGGACATTTTACAATCATAAATTACACGCCGACAAACACCCAGATGCGAAACAACTATCTGTGGGCAACACAAATAGTTGTCCCGTGTGGGAATCGAACACACGACCCCCGACGCCGAAGCCAATACCTTGGCAACTGCGACACGGAGTCATCGAATTGTCCATGTGATTTTTATACAGCGTGTCGTTACCATCGCGACAATAAATGAACACACATATAGGGGATAACTTTTTAAAGATGTATTAAACATTTAAATTCTTTAAATATCAATATTTACAGGGTTATTAAATTTTCCAAAACAAAGAATTTTAGAACACCCTTACCTATAAAAGCGTAACTTGTATTTTGTCTTGTATTAACTGATGTTTTTGCTTTCAGTCCCGAGACTATTAAAGCTTCATCTGACGCAGAACCGGTGGGCTAGCCAGAACCCACGGGTTTGGGCACTGAGTCTTACGCCCTTACTCTATGTACGCTAGCGCTATTAAAACTGTATCTTGTATCTTGTATTAACTGATGTTTTTGCTTTCAGTCCCGAGACTATTAAAGCTTCATCTGACGCAGAACCGGTGGGCTAGCCAGAACCCACGCGTTAGGGCCCTCCACTGTTGGTAGGGCCATCGAGGTCGCGGTTCGGTCCGAAACCCCGACGGCCGTCGACTGTGCAATTAGCTAATCGGTGGCTGGGAGCGGTGAGAACCGCCCCGGAACGCGGGTGTACCTTGTGTACGCGTTGTGTGGGTCTCGCCGTGCTCGGAGGCGAGTGCGAACTGGCGTGATTGTTGTTACACTAACTGTGTGTGAATGGATTGAGACAAAACATACTGTTAGAAGGAGAGGCTTGTAATACGACGCTGTGGCGCGAGTTGTATAGGATGTTACAAATTTTGTTTCTTTTTTGCTTAAATAGTTTGTTTGAAAAATATTTTTTTTTAATTATGGATTTTATTTAACGTTAATATTTTTTTTTATGATTATTGGCAAGTTGCATTAGACGTGTGTTCATTTATTGTCGCGATGGTAATGACACGCTGTATATGGAGCCGAAAGGTGACTGTCAAGAGTAGAGAGAGACAGCAGCTTGATGCCTTTGAGATGTGGTATAGGACGTGTAATACCATGGACAGACGCACCGATCAGCCCATACTGTCGGAGCTCAACATCAAGACGCGACTGTCCACAGTCTGCGAGCAACGGAAAGATATGGACGTATTCTATTACCCTGATGACTCCGTGGTGCAGTTGCCTTCGGTATTAGCTTCGGCGCCGGGGGTCGTGGAGAGAACAATTTTTTTTTATGTGATAAGTTGCCAAGCGAGCAGACAGGTTCACCTGATGTTAAGTGAATACCGCCGCCCATGGACATCTACTACACCCGAGGGTTGCAGATGCGTTGACAACCCTTTGCAAATTGGGCTCCGGCTACCTCACTCACCAGACGAAACGCGAAAGTATTATACTTCCGTTTTCCACTGGTCTTCTGTGAGGTCGTGGAACGTACCCAGACGAGCCTGCCCATTCGTGCCACAGCCGTGGCTGCTGCGTGGCCCTATCACCGGAAAAATTCGTGTGATAATTACAAAGTTATAATTTAATCTTAAATAAATAAATAAATAGCTTTTGATTTGGGTGTTTGTCCATGTGAAATTTATGTATATAAATGTCCTTACAACACAGGATAATGTTATCCTACAGTAAGGGGCAATGCTTTGGAAACGGAGACTACAATAAAGCTTCCTAGGCTGCGCGCATTCAGGATTACAACCCAACCTCTTCGACACAAAATAAAAAATACTCTGTTATTTTGCTTTATTCAATTTGTGCCACAGAAGAATAAACTAGTATAATTGGTTGTGGTTTTTGTGTAGTGAAGCTGTAATAAGCCATACAATTCGCGTCATTCTTTTATGTCACAATACAAAGGGAAGAAATGCTTTCAGAAAAAAGTTTTATGTAACCTAATAACAAAGAGCTGCTTGTTCACAGGTGGCATTTTGAGGAATCGAGCTACGAAGGCAGTCCCAACCCGGGAGGAACTGGACGCCCAGTTGGACCAATACATGGCAAGCACCAAGTCGGCGCTGGACAAGGAGTTGGATGCATACATGAAGAGTGCAATGGAGTTAGAATAGATTACAGTGCAGTGCAGTGATAGTTATTCTGATGTGCATACTGTGGACAAGTTAATGTTTCAAGTTAGAATTTCAGTCGGATTTTATAATTCAAGCAATCGGGTTCTCTAATATTTACATCTCAAATAAAAGCTGTCTCTAAATGTGAATAAATCTATGAGGTTGGCTTTTTGAGGTAGATTAATTAAATTCATAACATGCCATCAAAAAATATTATAAAATATAGTCGCACTCAAAGACGTCAATTAATGCCTCTTAAGCATAATACGATTTATCAAAGGAGTATAAGCAAATCTTCAAGGCTCAATTTTGCTAATGATGCTTAATTGCTAATTGTTACCGAGTATGGCATTATTATTTTTCTTTTTTTTGTATTAAACTAATGTCAATTGATTTATATTCAACTTTTTTTAGTTTACATTAAACATTTCTAAATGTTTCATCGGAAAGACTTGAGATGAAAGTAGTATTATTCTTTTAACCTACATTGTCAAATACTCAGTACTCAGTTAGATTTACAAAGCAATGGTATGCACATCGGTAGTTTTCAAATGGACAACAACCAATTTAAAACATAGTGTACTTTTGTTTTCTTGGTGACGATTTATGACTTTGATAATACGCTGTCTTTAACATTATATACGTTTACCAGATTATTTTCTGCGGGATGACAGTGTTGAAGTAAGCACAATTTTCAATTTCAGGAGCTATTTTCAATATTTACGTTTGTATAACACATTTAAAGATCTACTATCGCTTCACGTTTAACGAGGCGAAGTTTATGACTTAGTAAAAGTTTTAGAAAATGAAGCAATGGAGATAAAGCTTAGTCCATTTTTTAATTTGTGGGGTGTTGCATTGTAAACAAAGTTTGGGAATATATAAAATATCCATAACATAGTACATTATGAAATAAAAACACAAATCATTTGCCTAATCAAACAAACTGATTAAATTAATATTGTTAAATTTCCCAAAAGTCTATTAATGTAATTAAATTTTCATAAGTAATTGTTTAATGTTTAAAAGCATAATTGCAGCGATATTTGATAGAAATTTCTGCATTTGAGTTGCATCCTATAAATAATGATTCCTTTACCAAACAATAACTACTATTTGCTTTTATTGATTTAAAATTAAAATTTATTGTATCTTCAACATAATTACATGTAGATGTGTAAAATGTGCTTTGAGCAACTTCAGATATAAAATAATTGTTGTCTTATTATGGCTCTACGAGTTAGTATGCGCTGCAATCAATAACATTGGGCAGTGCTTATCCAAATTACAGTATTTTACTGCAATTGAAACTCATATTGATTTAAAATTTATATCACCCTGTCCATTATAAAATCTTACTCAAACCGCTTACAGAACCACATAACAAAGCAATCTCTATAAGAAAGTCAGCAAATTAATTCACTGTCAATTAAAGTGTTAAAGTAAAAAAAATCCTTGTTAACTCAAGACCTATAAAAGCACATACTGAAGTTTACCTGTTAAACATACTGGCTCGATATTTGATAGATTCTACGTTCCGTTGCTGATTCACACCTGAATTACGCTTACTTTGGAGATATAGTTTTTGCTTATGGTTACATAGCATATGGCTTATTCGTTATTATAAAATTGTTTGCCACAATATCTAAACCTTAACAGTCATACCCTCCATTGTAGACACTTCAACATATTTCAATTTCATTACTCGCATCTTGTTGTTCTAGTTTATTATTATTATTATTTAGTTTGTCTTAAGTTTGTTTGTCTCTTAATTTTGAAGTACATCATGTAAATATTTAAGATTTAAGTAAACTTGTTGTTCTCTATTAAATACGATATGCAAATTGCGTCTTGTTTATTTTGGGATGTTTGAAATTAACAGTTGTTGTGTTGAAGTGAATTTGTAGTCAGTTTCTAATTTTCTAAAGTATGATCTTGTATGGTGTAATTAATTCCTTTATTGCATTTTTACACAAATCTTATGTTTAAGAGAACTTAATACCAAGTCTTTTCGTCAGTCAACATAAATGGTGGGAAGATATAAAATTAAGTGTTAAAGTGTACATAATTGTTCTACTAATATGTACATTAATTTATTAATTGTACACTATTTTAATAAATAACATTAATACATTATATACCTGTATATACATACATAAGTAAAAGGGGAAGGGAAACCAGAGTAATAAGTAATTTTTTAGATAAGATGACATACATAAGTAATTTTAGATAAGTAATCCGTGGGTAGAACATGCTTCCCTAAAAATCTGCAAAAGGGAAATGTAGTCTGTTAGTAACCACAAGTTCCACCGTTCTTTATTGTAAAGCATAGCACTTCTTTAGGGACAAATTTTACCCTGGGTTGTACGAACAAAGTTCACGGCAAACACCCAGATCTGAAATAATTATCTGTGGGTCACACAGATAGTTGTCTCGTGTGGGAATCGAACCTTCGCCCCCCGTCGCCGAAGTCGATACCTTAGCAACTGCGCCATAGAGTTATTTTAATTGAATAACTATGGCGCAGTTGCCATGAACATGCCAATTGAATGAAAGATTGGGAATGTCCCAAGGACAATAGATGACAGACGATATATTTTTCCACTATAATTATGTACTTAGATTAAATTTGATGACTCCGTGACGTGTTTGTCCACGTGAAATTTATGTTTGTAAAACGTCCTTGCAACACAGGATTATGTTATCCTAAACTAAGGGCAAAAATATCGAGTGGTGGACTACGCCCTAATTACTTTCAGCCTGTTAGTCCACTGCTGAATAATAGACCTCCCCCACATCCATCAACCCCCCCCCCCCCCCCCCTTATTTACTTACTACAACACACTGCATAAATAGTTTATGACAAAAATTTTAAATATACGAAATAAACTAATATATACTACAATAATAACTAAACGTTTATTAAGGGATTAATTACAAGCTAATAATAAAAATATTTTAATGCGAAATTTGAGCTTGATGTTTTTTGATAATTTCATTTACATTTGGTAGTAAAAATGACAATGCTACTCTCATATCGTTTTCTACATTTAACAATCTTGATCTTTTTTTAGTTTTAATGTTGGCTAATGCCAAAAAATATTTTTCTTTTTAAATGATATAATTTAATAATATTAACATTATTATATATTTGCAAAATTTGGCGGCACACTTTTGAAATTTGGCGGCACACAAAAGTGCCGCGGCACAGTGGTTGAGAATCACTGCTTTAAGCTATGTCGGTTACTTTAATTCTACCGCGAATGTTTTTTTTTTATGTTAGCTGATGGCAAGCACTTCAAAATCTCATCGTTAAATTCGCGCTCAAAATCTGTCTCAGGCAGATCTCAAACAGTTGCCAGACCAACTACGAGGAAAACCTGGTTCAAAAGCGTGGTACGTCTGAAAGATATTGAATGAGAAATGGTACAAAATAAAAACACTCCTTGTAGCAGAACAATGATTCTCTGGGATGGACCCGAATGGATATTCTTTTTTTTATGTGAAAAGTTACCAAGCGAGCAGACGGTTCACCTTATGTTAAGTGAATAACGCCGCCCATGGACATGTGCTACACACAAGGGTTCTAGATGCGTTGACAACCTTTTTGATTGGGCTCCGGCAACCTCACTCACCAGACGAAACGCGAAAGTATTATACTTTCACTATACGGCGGTCTTCTGTAAGGTCGTAGTACTTACCCGGACGAGCCTGCCCATTCGTGCAACAGCCGAGGCTGCTGCGTGGCCCTACCACCGTGAATATTCTGTAATCACTCCCTCGTACTGTGTCAAGAACTTTATAAAATCCAATGAAATGATGCCTTTCTCCTTGGAAAGGGATACAGGTACTTTATATCCGGGAAAAAATGTTGATTTAATAGCTAAATGAATTTTAATTCAGTTTCCTCTAAAGTTGTGTCTTAATTATAAAGACCTATACAGGCGTGGTCATTCGAAAGTGTGCAAAGCCTAAAAGAGAGATATGACTTGAGGCCTGCTGTCCGATTCGGCTAGTTCAGGGAAGAAGTCAACTCCTAGTTTTCCTAAAAAGTGCTTCCTATAGGCTGAGTATTCCGTCTTGGGCCCAGTCATATTAGACCCAATTCTGGGGGACAGTTGTCAAGCACTACAGCATGGCGTGATAAGTTCCGATTATATGTTAAGTGACGACGAAGCTCTAACTGATAGTGCTGTTTTCAAGTAAGTGTTAAGTGTAAAAATCTTACACTTCCATTAGAGAAAACTCTATTTTGCCGAATCCTAAAACTAACCTTACGGTTCCACACAAAGTGACGCGCGAACTTGTCACTTTCACTGCTAAACAGTTATGCTAATATGAATTGTGGCAACGAGCTCCCACTTGAAATAGTCATGGCATTATTGATAAATGTTGCAAAAAATCATTTTATGTTTTTTAGCCCTTCAATGAATACATTTCTATTGCTCACCATCCTTTTTTTTTTTTTTTTTTATGTGAAAAGTTACCAAACGAGCAGACGGTTTACCTTATGTTAAGTGAATAACGCCGCCCATGGACATGTGCTACACACAAGGGTTCCAGATGCGTTGACAACCTTTTTGATTGGGCTCCGGCAACCTCACTCACCAGACGAACGCGAAAGTATTATACTTTCACTATACGGCGGTCTTCTGTAGAGGTCGTTGTACTTACCGGACGAGCCTGCCCATTCGTGCAACAGCCGAGGCTGCTGCGTGGCCCTACCACCGTGAATATTCCGTAATCACTCCCTCGTACTGTGTCAAGAACTTTATAAAATCCAATGAAATGATGCCTTTCTCCTTGGAAAGGGATACAGGTACTTTATATCCGGGAAAAATGTTGATTTAATAGCTAAATGAATTTTAATTCAGTTTCCTCTAAAGTTGTGTCTTAATTATAAAGACCTATACAGGCGTGGTCATTCGAAAGTGTGCAAAGCCTAAAAGAGAGATATGACTTGAGGCCTGCTGTCCGATTCGGCTAGTTCAGGGAAG